CCTGCAGCATAGCGTCCAAAAAGGTGACCGGATTACCCGTCCACTCGTTTAGGCCGTAAAACTGGTGGAAATCAGTTGTGCCGACTTTGCGCAGCCGTTGAAACTCTGGCCCGTAGTCCAGACCCAATACCCGTAGGTCTTTGTATATGTCGTCCCTTTCCAGGGTATAGTCGTTGGCGGTCTGTTTGCATGATTCGTGTAACACGTGCTGCGCGTTCAACACGTCGTCCGCCTCGGCGTCCGGCGCCCGCACTCGACCCGAAACGCACAGTTGGTTACTGTTGTCGTAAATGAGGAACTCGTCTGTCATTTAATTAATTGTAAACAAATTAGTGAACGAATTAAATATTTATAATAATACATTTAAATCATTATAACTTATAATTTATATGCGACTAAACAAGAACTTTATGAAAAACAATGGAAAAAGTAACATTATGCAATTTATATAATTTAGCATATTTGTTATTTTCTATTGATTCTAACAGGTAAGTTTAACTGTATTTATAGAATCTCGATAATGTAACTAAATATAATAAGACATTTCTAAATAAATAATTTAGCACAAAATAAATAAATAAATGTTTTTATAATTAAAACAATCACTTACTTAATGTGGAAATGTATTTCACTTTAAGCTTAACGTTAGTCGAATCGGACAAAAACACGGCTCGTCTGAAGTGTACGTTTTCAAACACCACCGGACAGTCTGTCCACAATTTGCCGACACTGGCGGCCACTTTACGCCACGCGAGCATCAAATACCCGGTGGCCGGATAAATAGGCTGACCATCTATGGCGTGATTCATGTAAAACTGGTCCTCATTTTTCTGGTACCGCACCACATGAGTAGAGTCGCCAGCCGTCGACTGACACCACCGATCGGGGTATAGCCGGCAGTCAAACTCACGCGAGTGATCCCATTTGATTAGCGATGAGATGGACTGTGTATTCCTGGCCACTGGCCAGTCGACCGGCGCGTACAGCCCATCGACGGCCAGATTGAAGCCCAGTTCGTAGAGTTGGGCCAATCCGGACAAAAATGTGTCCATATTTGTCGCGTTTGAGTCCTTTTTTAATAGCGATATGTAGTGACAGTTGTCGAGCGTTTCGGTCACTATTCGGCCGAACACTGAGTGCGGGCCCAACTCGACGACTACGGCGTCGGTGGGCAACTCCCGGAGCCGGTCGTAAAAGTTGACATAATGTATCAGATTGTGTACAAAATACTCGGCCGACGCGTACCGTAATGTCTCGTTTGCTGTCTCGTCCTGACCGGACACAGCAGTGGACAGCCATTTGCCAGACCTGAGCCGCGGCTCCGGCAGGTATTTCTTGATAACCTCTATCATCGGTTTGGCTGAAGTGACCATATATTGCGAATGCAATGGTATTTCACTGCTCTCTAACTGTCGGACAAATACACGCTTTTCTTGCAATCGTTTGATTAAGTCTAGCATTTCATTCATTAGACCTGAAAATAAAGTTTAAAAATAGTTTTATTATTATTAATACAATTAAAAGTTGTTAATTAAATACCGGACACAACGCAACTATCCTTCCCGTTATTGCAGACCACTTCCACCCCTTTGGGACAGTACTTCATGGCCTCAGCCCTCGACAGCCCCACCGCCGCCATCAATCCTTTGGTCATTTTGCGGTCATTTTGGGTAACATTTCCCCTCAAATACGTGATAATCATAGCCTCCCGTCGGGTGAGACAGCCGTCGGCATAAGCGCAGGCAATCTCACCAAATGAGTGGCCAATTATGCCGTCGGGCGTCACATCCAGGGCTTTCAACACATCAAATAAGGCCAACTCCAGGGCAGTTGTGGCCGAAAACTTGGCAGTTAATGATGTGATTACCGACGGGTCGTCTTCTAGTAATAGTGGTTTCAATTGAAAGCCAAACTCGTTGTTCAGTATTTGATGGCAATCGTCGATAGTGTCGGCGAATCGCTTGATTGGCATCAAAGCCC